GGTTGATGAGAAGAAGAGTGTCTTTGCTCTGTGCTCTTCTGTCTGTGGTCAGTCTGCTGCAGAGTGGAGATGGAAACTGTAGAGAAATGCAGAACTCTGAGGGGAACGATACTGTGACATATAGGTCACATCTCACTGATGACACGGCGCTTAGCATCCGGCAGTGAATCAATTATCTGTGACACAGATCAAAGCTACAAAATGTCCCTCAAAGAGACACTGAACAACCAGGAAGAGAATAAAAATGACCACAAATACACAATAAAATCCTCCAAACAGAAGAACAAACGTCGTCAGAGACTCGGAGTGAATAACAGCCTCTAAATGTGGTCTAATGCAAAGAAACGCTGCTGAACGATTAGAGGAAGTTCAACAGAGACAAATTATTCAGAGCATTTCTTCTTTGTTAATGTTCATTTAGTCATTATTTGTGTGTGATGACATCAGACCTGTGTGTGAAGTAAAAACACAGCTCCCTGTGTGTGTGTGAGGTGTGTAACGGCCTCACAATATAAATGTAGAAGTACAGTACCTTGTACAGAGAGAAGGAAGATGACTAATCCACCGGCTGATGGACTCATAGCTGCTCCTCTGTGTTCAATCAGCAGATCAGAAACTCTTTATTCAGTAAGTCACCAGAAACACGTCTACATAAAGAGGAGGCTGATGTCTCTGAGGGTCAGCTCGTCTCTTCTGGAGTTGGGTAACAAGCTGCTGTTCATCCCCAGCAGAGCTTCCTTCCTGTTTCCGTCATTAGTGTGCATGAGCTGCAGAACAAGAGGCTGCTTTAATGTTAACGTCTTACTTCTGCTAAAAGGAAACATCATAAAAGTGTTGTTAATATGTGAAGATCATCTTGATGAACCTGTAAGCAGCATAAACGTCTCTTCATTCTCTGTAATAATTCACATTAAGTGAAAGGCTGCAGTGTGACGTCCTCCTGTTAACATGTAGATAAATATGTCCTCTCTGCAGCTCTTCATACGTCTTCCTCACATTCACTGCAGGACACAAACAACACAAACAAGCTGTCAACTCACACAAATGTTGCTTTATTCATTTATTGTTCACACATTTCCATTACAATATGAAAGTGTCTGTTGAGGACAGTGTGTAGTGTTTAGTGACATCTAGTGGTGAGGTTGCAGACTGCAGCCTCCTCCCTTTAAGTCCTTCAGGTAACGTGGAGATGAACAAAGGCTCCCAGTGAACATATGAAGCGCTCCTCTAAAGAAACTTCTCAGTGATGAAAACATGGTTATTGTTGGGAAGATTAAAACAAGCTTCAGATAGTTTGGGGGGCAGGTGCTCAAACCAAAAGAAAAAGGCAGAAGTGTCTTTCTGCTTTTGGAGTCTCTCTTCTCTTTGCATTAAGCTGCACATTCTGTGAATGAGATAAATTAATGTTGTGCACAATAATCAAAAGTTGACAACACACACAAATATTTTTGTAAGCATAAGCAGCATTACACTAATAATACACCAGATTGTAGCTCAACTTAGAGACCTACCTTTTAATTTGTAGAAGTGTAAAACTGCCTTTA